CCTGTAGTTGATCAGGGTGGGCCACCGATGATGCTTGAACAACGCCGAGGAGTGCTCCGCCATGCGCAGGAGCGCCTTGACCAGCGCACGGCCCAAGTCGTCTGGGCAGATGGCCACCCGGAACCTCCCGCACCCGCGCGCAGCCAGCACCAGCAGCTCGTGGTCCTTCGTGATCGACTGGAGGGTGCCCATCTTTCCTGCCGCCGCGTCCTCCGCCCGCCTGTTCGTCAAGTCCAGGTTGTACGCGATGTCGGCCATGACCTTCACCATGCCGTCGCTGTCCTTCCCCTCCGAGTCGCCAAGGGCCCCCGCCGACCTCCGAACCTTCTCCGACGGGCCGTACTCCTCCTCGTCAAAACTCACCCGCGATCTCCTCGCAGGAACTCCGAAGGTGGGCCCACTCCTGTGCTCGAATAGGTCCATGGGGGGTGGCGTGGGGTCCTGCCCAGGCCGTCCCGACGGCGGACCTCTGCCCAACTCCACCCGCACAGTACTGCCCCGCAGGTCGACCCCTTGAGCGGTCAGGTCGGTGGCCCGCCGCTTGGGTTCCCACCCACGGGCATAGCCTCCCTCCTCTCTGGTGGGTCGGCCGGACTCGGGCTCCTTCCCAGGCCCCGGGGGGTCTCCACCGCCACTGGGCGCACTGTGGGGGGTGTGGGTGGCCGCGCGGGGCCAGGGACTGGCCGCGCCACTCCCTCACGCCACGCTCCTCCCTCAACCTCCTCCGCATGCGCCTGGCTCAGGCCACGCCGCTCTCTCAGCACCTCCGCCAGCTGCCTGAGGTTCTCCACCTCATCGTCCGACATGAAGGAGCCGCGGTCCCGCTCAAAAGCTTCGAGTGACTCGACGATCGCATCGCACGCGTTTCCCAGGTCATCGAAACCCTCGGTGTGCTGGTACCTCTCGGCCACGTCCAATGGGTGGTCCTCTCCGCTCGCCCGAGTCTTCAGGAATTCCAATGCCAAATACGCCTCACCTGGGCGTCGCCACCGCTCCCGAGCGGCGCCGCTGAGCAAGTCCCCCAGCTCTCCTCGGGTTAGCGTATCTTTCCACGGCGGCTGCGGCGGGTAACTCGGGACCCCTGGGAGCGGCACCCTCCGAGTGTGTGCATCGTCACGCCCTCCTTCTGCCTCCTCAACTCCTCGCGTCAGGATGCACAAGGAGTGGTCCTCCCTCCCCGTCGCCCCGCGCGCCAGCGCCAACGCCACTGGACTGGCCGTCTTGCCGAACTCGTCCATTCCGTCTGGCGTCTGGCTCGCCGTCCGCACGATGATGGCGGGCGCTCCTGCGGCCGCAGCCTCGGCGCGGACACGATCGTCGATGACCGGCCCGAGGTTGGACGTGACGGTGGCCTAGGCGCCGATGCTTGGGATGCGATACGTAGTCCAACCATCCTCCTCGGCCGTCAGCTGGCACCCGTAGAAGTAGTACTTCTTGGCCGTCTCCGTGCCCTGGGGTCCCCGCACCATGGCAGTCAGCCATGCTCCACTGGCAGTTGCTAAGGGTAGGGCGGTCCGCCCAGCAGAGGAGGTAGGAGGTCTCGACCCGTAGCGATAGGGCTGCTCCGACGCGATCCCCACCACCACTGGGCGGCGGCGACACGAAGGGGCTCCTCTGCCGTCAGGTCGTGCTCCAGACACGTCAGCACCCCACGGCTCATGACCCGGCCCAACGCATGGCAGCCGAGGTGCGCGCACTTCTTCACTCCTCTCTCGCGCTCGTAGGTGTTCGTGTGCTGCCAGCATAGGTTGACCACCTTCTCGGCCCCCTTGATGTTCGACTTCTCACCATCCTCCGTGACCAGCCGAACTGGGCACCTCGAGCTCGATCTCGACACTTCTCCTTGCACAGCTGGAATATCGTGTCCGCTTCCTGATACAACACCTCGTCGGCCATGCAGCGCTGGTGCTCCGGCTCCGACTCGGTCTCTGAATTCGGGTCCTTCAGCAGCGCGGCGGGGGTGTCCGCTCCGCTGCGTCTGCCGCGCTGGCAACCCCTCTGGCCACAGCGCTTGAGGGACCCGCACAGCTTGGCACACCCCTTCAACCCCACCGCTGCACAGCCCTTCCCGCACGAGGCAGCAGCCGCTCCCACTGCACGTCTGGCCCAACATGGCCTCGGTGCCGCCTCCACCAGCGCCTCCAGGTTGGTGTCCGTCTCCGCGGTAACGTAGCCGTAGGCAGGGGCATGCACAGCGTAGTTGCCTTCGTCCGTGCACGGCGTGTCCCTGCACAGGTGCACCACCTTGTCCTGTGCGTCCTCCAATAGATCACGAAGCCGTCGCGAAGTGGTCGCAAGCACCTCCCGATACGGCCAGGCCACCCCTGCCTTCTTGTACTTGATCCCAGTGTTCAGGGGCGGCCGCTCCAACCTCGCGGCCGTGTCGCCCACCTTGATGATCAGGTGGTGCGGCACCTTGTCCGGTCCCTTGGCGCGGAGCTGAGCGTAGAAGTCGTTCTCCACGGCGATGGCTGTGGCTGGCCCACGAAGCTCTGGGACCACTCCCTCTTCCGCAGCCGCAACTTGGGGTCTCGAGGTCGGGCAGCACCATCCCAGCGCCCGACCCACGCAACGGAGCGGTGCGCACACCAACACGTCGACTGCCGACGCGATGGAATGGAGACCATAGCCCAGGCCAGTGACAAGCGCCACAATCAAACCCGCAAGCGTCGTCCAGCACAGCAAGGGCCAGTCCGTGCCAAAGGCCGCGTAGCCCACAGTGTTGAGCCCGCTCCGGACCAGCCCGCCCCCGCTCCACATCAAGTCCGACCACTGAATCTCCTGCGGCGGCAGGTCGGTGATCCAGCCCCCGAGCCAACTCACCCCGACATTGATCCCACCGAAGCTGAACCAACCCCGCATCTCCTCCTCCTCTGGAGCTGCCCCAGCTCCCTGAGCGTCAGCTTCCACGGGACTCCTTCGCAACGGGGGGTCCCGTCGGCGACCCGCGAACCAGCTCCACATCTCGCTCCTGCGCCGACGCGGGCTCCCCTCGCCTCCTCCGCCAGCCGGCGACGGCTGCTCCTCCCGGGGGGTGGCTTGGCCGCGGCCGACGCCGTCGGGCGCTGCTGGCGCCCCTTGCCTCCTGTGGGCGGGCTCGCCGCCGGCCCAAAGGGGGCTCCTCGCCCCTTCCCGGCGGCGGGCGCTGGCCCAGCTGGGGGGGCGGCCTGGCGATTCGGCCCCTCCGAGGCCGCCGCCGTGCTGCGGCGCCGCTGGTCGTCCTCCAGCGCCCGCAGCAGAGGCGCGTACGCCCCTCCACTGGCTGTCTCATCCTCCGCCGGCAGCGCACTGCCTGAGCCACGAGCTGCTGATGGCAGGGCGGGCGTCGCGGGCTGCCCTCGCCATCGGCGGCCGATCTCAGCCGCGGCCACCGCTCCGATGATCATGGGCAGCAGGGCCATCATGCGGTGGTGCAGGCCCGACTCCGGGCACCTCCTCCTGTTTGCGGCTCTCCTCCGCCCGCCCGCAAAGGCTGGCGGCCCGGCTCATCACCGCATAGCACTCGGTCCCTGTGCGGCCTTGGGCCGCAGGGCGGGCCGTGCTTCCCCGCGCGGGGCCGCCCCCTCAAGGGCCCGAGAAAGAAACTTGAGCCCCAAAGGGGCCACAGAGGGGGAAAGGGAAAGAGAGCAAGAGAGACCCTTCCCCCTCACCGGGCACTTACTCCCTGAAACCCTACGTTTTACGCATACTCAAACTCTCACTATGCTTGTGCTGCTTGGCTTCTAGCGTTGCGTACTGGTCAGCATATTCATTTTCTTCCCAGCGCCCGAGGCCCATCTCATTTCGCTGGGCCCTCGAAGCGTGGGCCTGGACTTTTTCGACGACACCCCTCGCGGTTCTAGACCACCGTTTTCAGCGATCAGGGCCCAACAGCATGCCCACACGTGTCAGTGAGGTGTGGCGGGTCGCGCTGCCCACGAGGGCCCTCTCAGGAAGCCGTCGATCACGGCCTGGCAGTCCGAGAGCATGACCAGCGGCGGGCAAGCGACCTCCAGCACGCGCAACACGGCCGTGAGGTCGCCTAGTAGTATCGCCTCCTGCCACTGCGGCCCAGGCAAGGGGCCATAGCATGCATACTGGAGCGTCGCGTCCTCCCTCAGCTGCGCGAGCGCCCAGCCTCCACGTCGCAGGGACGCGTACTCTGGGTTTCTCAACAAGCGTGGCGGGGTACCCCCCGACGGGGGTCAACCTCGCCTCGTCGTCGCGCCGCGACGGGGGTCGGAGCGTCTTCGGCGCGCGGTGGCTGCCCGCGACGGGGGTCGATGCGGGGCTGTCGGCGGCGCTGACGCCCCCCGACGCTTATTGAGAAACTCGGAGTGCTTCCCGTGGAGCAAGCTGCCGTCGGTGTGCACGCGGCCCGCGGCGATCGCCACGGACTCCCCTCCGACCAGGATGGCGCCGCTGGACGGGAGGCCCCACAGGCCGAGCTCGGCCGCGGGATCATTGGCCGGCCGGTGGCCCCAGAGCTGCTCCGCCCCGGGCCGCGGGTGGGCCTCCCCTGTGCACGCCGTGGGCCCCGCCCGCTCTCCGCCTCTGCCCCTGCCGCGCGGCGCAGACGAAGGTGCGGTGCCTGTCCGTGCCCTCGCCCTGGTTGCACGCCTTGCAGGAGGAGGAGGAGGAGGAGGAGGAGGAGGAGGAGGAGGAGGAGGAGGAGGAGGAGGAGGAGGAGGAGGAGGAGGAGGAGGAGGAGGAGGAGGTGGCGTCTGGGGCGGCTCCTTTGGCAAAGAGCCGCGCCTGCGGACGGGTGCCGCCGCGCCAGGGCGTCCTCGCGCGCGTCCTGGTGCGCTGGTGCTGAGGCCGCCGCAGCAGCGTGCGCACGGGCTCCACGAAGACCGACTGCATGCTGAACTGGTGACGGAGCGGCGACGGCGAGCACGGAGCCGCCCGACCGCCATGTCAGGCCCAGACGACGGGCGGTGACGAGGCGGTGACGGGGCGGCGACGGCGAGCACGGAGCCGCCACACCGACATCCAGGGCCAGTTCCTTCAAAGAGAAGTAAGACCCCCCTGAGCGCAAACACTGTTCGGGGAACATGTGTTCCCCTCTGCCTCTGTTTTGTTCTTTCTATCCTTCACTTTCTCTGTTGTACACACACGTTCTCTCATATACGTACATACATGGCGGGCTCGCAGTTCGCAGGCGCGCGCGGTCCCTTCGACTCGTTCTATCTCAGGGGGACAACGCCCCGAGAGTCCGTAGCTGGGGCCCTTGGGTGACGAGTTGCTTCATCCTCAACCTCGACGCGGCGCTCGACGCGACCGAGGCCGCCTTCCCCAGCGACCCCAGCCTCCTGGACGTGAACCACCCGGATCACGAGGAGGTCGGCTGGCAGGCGGCAGTCTCGCGCAGATTCCGGCAACCTCATGAAGTGGGGGCTCTCTGGCATCTTCGTAAGCGTCTTGATCATTGGATCGTTCTTGTCCTTCCTGGGCGGCGAGTCGACCGGTGGATTCGCTGCGGACATTGCATCTCGGAGCTCGTCCCGCCCAGAGTTCTCGCTGCTAGGACCCGCACGGTGCTCAATGGGTGGACCACGTCCCGACGATTCCAAGGTCGCGGGACTTGCTGCTTGGGCTGTGGTGGCGAAGATAGCGTGAAACATTATGCCTACTGCGCCGTCTACCACGCCCTCTCCAGGAAGCACCTCGGCTTACGTCGCCCGGAACTGGGTTTGGAAATCGCGGAGTTCATCGGTCTCGAGTCGGGCTCGTCTACGTACAACGGCAGCTTATCGAACGTGGAGGTCATGGCTCTGAGAGCTGCGTCGGTGTACGCCGCTTCTCGCGTGCACGGCGCGGTCCGCCACGGCCTGTCGCCGACCAGTGGTGCCGACGCGTTCTCCGGGTACCTCCGCGAGGCGTACCGCTGTCACGCCAGATTGGCTGGGCTAGTCCAGCGCGCGCACAAGCGCGTGCGCCAGCAATAGAGCCTGCACAGCGACGTTGGCGTACCCGCTACAAGGCGGGGGCGGTCGCGGAATCTGTTGCTAGCATCCCGTCGGGGTCGCCCGACACATTTTCCAGCAGTGCTTCCCTCCCTCTCTCTTCCTCGCCCTCCTCTCGTCCGTTCGAAGTCGGCTTCGTTTGCTTCCCCGGCGCGTGCCGGTCAACCATAAGGGTTGAATCTGTGAGCGTTATCTCAGTATTTCTCTTCCTTCGCTGTTCTGGCGTACTCGCCGCGAGAAGAACCAGGGACGGTTTTTCTCAGCGCCCAGCGCTTGGCCGCAGTCCGGCGGCTTAGCCCAGCCTCCCTCCTCCTCCTCCTCCTCCTCCTCCTCCTCCTCCTCGTCTTTCTCCTCGTCCTCTTTTCCTCTGTTGTCTCATGTTGTGTTGGATTTACTGGTTCGGCCGACTAGGCCATTCAGTAAAGGGACTGCCGCACAACCCCTCGGCAGGCCTAGGGTAGATACGCTGCAAGGCAAGTTCGTATCATTGGCCAGCTGGATTATCTCTCTCCTCCTCTTCTATTTCCTCCCCGTCCCGTCCTTTTCCTCCTCCTCCGCTCGCCCGGGCTATAATTGTCAGCGGATGCTCCTTTTTGTTTGCGTTAGTGTGTGTCCAGGGGGGCAGGATTTGTTGCCCCAGCCGGCGCCTACAGTAAGCAGCGTTGTTAGTGTGGCGTAGCCCGTTCCCGTCTTTCTCTGCCCGAATGTTTGGCCGGAGTTTCGGCCACGTTCGCAGGACAGCCTTGCGAAGATCATGATGCGTGTACAGTATCGCTGTCCGCTCCCCCAATATATATATATATATATATATATATATATATATATATATTAACGGCGCACCGGGTCGGGGGGCCCGGGGCCGGGACCTCGACCACAAATGTGGGCCCCGGGGGGCCCGGAGGCTCGTCGGACCGCCGGACGCCGTCCAAGATCGTTCGCAGGCGGCTTCGGAACGCGCTTCGATGGCTCCAGATGCCTTCCAAGACGCCTGTCATGACACCAAGAAGGTCCCAGAAGCCTCCAAGACGCTCCGAGAGGCAGCCCAAGAGAGGCCCAAGAAGCAAAATTCGTGCCATTCCTATGGGAAAAGTATATTTTTCGCATGTTCGCCTCTTGGGCTTTCACCGCGTCCAAGACGGCCCAAGAGGCGCCCAAGACGGTCTACGAGGCCTCCGGGAGCGCTCCAAGGCTGCGCACGAGTGGCCCAGGACGGCCCCAAGACGGCCGAAGAGAGCCCCAAGACGAGTTCGAGAGGGGTCCCAGACGGAGAAAGCCAACCTCGAATTCCGAGCTTCCGGCCCAAGAGGCTCCAGGAGGCGCCAAAATGCCGCCAAGAGGCGCCAAAAGGCTCCCCAAAGCACCCCAAGACGTTCCGAGAGGCATTTCACCGCGTCCAAGACGGCCCAAGAGGCCTCCAAGACGGCCTAGGAGGCCTCCGGGAGCGCTCCAAGGCTGCGCACGAGTGGCTCAGGACGGCCTCAAGACGGCCCAAGAGAACCCCAAGACGACTTCGAGAGGGGTCCCAGAAGGAGAAAGCCACTCTCGAATTCCGAGCTTCCGGCCCAACATATCCCAGGAGGCGCCAAAACGCCGCCCAGAGGCGCCAAAAGGCTTCCAAAATCAGCCCAAGACGTTCCGAGAGGCACCCCAAGAGAGGTCCAAGAAACAAAAATCGTGCCATTCCTATGGGAAAATGTATATTTTTCGCATGTTCGCATCTTGGGCTTTCACCGCGTCCAAGACGGCCCAAGAGGCCTCCAAGACCGCCCCAAGACGGCCCAAGAAGCTTCCAAGAGGGCCCCAGGACAGCCCAAGAGGGCCCCAAGACGGCCCAAGAGGCGCCCAAGATGGCCCAAGAGGGCCCCAAGACGGGCCCAAGAGGGGGCCCAGAGGGGGACCACGAACCGCAAGCTCGAGCCTTCCGCCCCAAGAGGCCGCCAGGAGGCCCCAAGGAGGCCCCTCAAGAGGCCCCAGGAGACCCCCAAGAGGCCCAAAGGAGGCCCCGAGAAGCCCCAAATCGGCCCCCAAAATGCTTCGAACCTGCTTCCAGGAGGCCCCCGACAGGTTCAGAGGCTCCCGAGAAGCTACGTCAAACTCCCAGCGAGCGGCCGGACGAGGCCCCCCACAAAATCACAAGAGGGTTCCAGTATTTGTATCCTTCAGCGCTCTCTGGCCTTCTTCCCCCTGCCCCCTTCCCTGCGACTTTCGTTGACTCAAGCTCGCCTCCTAGCTAGAACCTAAGCGCGCGCGAAGCGCGCGCGTGGTTCTAGTGTATATATATATATATATGTACATACTCATTTTCACATGTATATATATACATATATATATATTTATATATATATGTGTGTGTGTGCGTATGTACGTATAAATAGATGCATGTGTATAGGCATGTGTATATGAATATAAGTCGGCGCCCGTGTATGTATATATATAGGTATATATATATATGTGTATATGTATGTATGCATGAATGTATAACTATATATGTATGCATATCTAAACATGCTTTATGCAATGTATTATGTATTCCGGCAGATAGAGATACATATGGAGAGAAGGAGAGAGAGACATATATATATATATATATATATATAAAGAGAGAAAGAGAGACAACGAGAGAGAGAGAGAGAGACAGGGAGACAGAGAGACATATCTATATATATATATATATATATACACCAGTGAGTGGTGCAGATGCACACAACATGTAAGCATATACCGATACACACAATATTGGCATCGTGGTAGGAGGAGGTGGGGGCGGAGGGAGAATACATTGATGACGATGACGATGAGGAGAAGGACAATAAACAGACAGACGATACGGATGGGTGGGAGGAGGAGGAGGAGGAGGAGACTGGGGACCAAGCTTCGACGCCTCGAGGTAACACTACACAGCTGGCTTTCATTTACCTTCAATGTCAGTGCGGCCCCTGTCCTCGCATCCTGCTGCCTGTCTGTCTCCATTCCGCAGCTCCTCCCGCTCACTCACTTCCTCTCTCTCTCTCTCGATCTCTCTGGAGAAAATTATCCCTGCAAAGCAACCTAACAGCGATGTGTAGGAGCATATCTGGAAGCATTCCCCATAAGATTCAGATGAGAATCCAGTTGTAGAATTCTGCTGTTCTCGCAGTCGTAGTCGCATTCGCGATGACAGTCGCAGTGGCAACGGCAGTCGCAGTCACAGCCTCAGCCTCAGCCTGCCTCAGCCTCAGCCTCAGCCTGCCTCAGCCTCAGCCTGCCTCAGCCTCAGCCTCAGCCTGCTTCAGCCTCAGCCTCAGTCTGCCTTCAGCCTCGGCCTCAGCCTCAGCCTGCCTCAGGCCTCAGCCTGCATCAGCCTCAGCCTCAGCCTCAGCCTGCCTCAGCATCAGCCTGCCTCAGCCTCAGCCTCAGCCTCAGCCTGCCTTGCCTCAGCCTCAGCCTGCTTCAGCCTCAGCCTCAGTCTGCCGTCGGCCTCGGCCTCAGCCTCAGCCTGCCTCAGCCTCAGCCTCAGCCTCAGCACGAAGCGACCCAGCTAGAAGGACAAAGCGCTGAATGTACACCGATGTGTTCGACGACTGCGTATGTAATGATGTGACGATATACAGACTGAGCCCTTCGTGAATGTCTACATGTTTTTCTGACGCCTACAAACGGCGCTGACGTGTGTGAGAAAATTGTCCGCGCAGCAAAAGCCGGCGAAGCGTGCGGGAGCTCGCATGCTGAGACAGACTACGTCTGCAGACCGCCAGCTGCAAAAGGTTGCGAGCGGCTCTTGGAAGATGTTTACGGAACGGAGCTACGGTGTCTGAAAACATTGGCATCGAAGCGAAGAGCCTCGGAGCCCTGCAACCTGAGAAACACCGCAGGAACTCGCATACTGAAAAGGAATGCATTGCAAACCGCACGCTGCGAACCCTGCAGGCTGAGAAGCACCGCAGGATGTCGCATGCTGAAAAGCACTTGTACTGCAGAGCGCTAGCACTCCATCTCGGGCTCGGACCCCCCCGTCCTGATCCAGAACGTGTCCGGCCACGGCCTGAAAATGCCGTTCCAACTCCCGAGGATCAGCTGGCACTCCGGCTCTGGGACACTCCAGTACGTCTTGAGCACCTTGAGCCAGGCCCCATCTCGGGATCCCCACAGCACGCTGTACTTGACCGAGACCGTGCCGAACTCATAACAATTGACCTCCGAAGGACCTGCGAGTGCAGGCTGAGAAACACCACGCGATTGCAGGGCACGGCATTGCGTGTCACATGAGTGCAGGCTGAGAAGCACCACATCTCGTTTGCCAGAGATCACTCCCAGGTTATTTGATCCCGCAACACCAGCCACGGCGTAGCTGCCACAGGGGCCGCAGATAGCAACGGTTCGGTCACCCAATTGGCGTTCCGGTGAGTCACAATTCGCGCGTGGCTCCACGAGCCTGTGTAGCGCGATTTGCGGGGCACCAGTGTGCTGTAGGTGTTGTTGCCGTAGCAGAAGACGGCCTCTGGAGCCCAGTGCGGATTCCAGCGGACAGCGTAGACCCTGTGGACGCCATTGCGGATGACGTCGCGCGCACCTTCGATATGTGCCACCCATCGAAGCCAGTCAAATGCTGAGCCATCGGTGATGTCAACAGCACCTGGGGCAGTCTCGCCATGGTGGTAGTGCAACAGCGATTGGAGAGCGGCGCTGGCTTCGTCGCGGCCCACAATCTGGCGCGAGCAGGCTGCCTCTTGCAGGTGCTCCTGTGTGAAGAGCAGTGGGGCATCACCGCCAGTCTCGGCAGGCTGAGCAGCGCCACCGTCAGGCACGGCAGTCTGAGCAGCGCCGCCACGAGGAACATGAGGCTGAGCAGCGCAAGGCTCAGGCACGGCAGGCTGAGCAACGGCGCGTGGTGGACCGACATAGGTGGGCTCATCGGGTCGGCCGTTCTTATGGTAATGCAGGCGCATGGCTGAACCGTCTGCACGACGGAACTCGAAGAAGTGCCTGCCGTGGCCATCCGTGTTGGAGTAGTTAGGGTCGCGCTCTGTCTCGATGATGCGAAAGAGAACCTGGGCGATGCCCTGCCCGATTATGCGCTCAGCGAAACCCGGAGCGGCAGACCGAAGCAGTTGCTTCCAGTCGTAGGACGGGTCGTTTGTTACGTCTTTGAACGACAAGTTGTTGACAATGCACTCGGCGCGCAGCGCGCGCTGCCACTGGCAGGCGGTCTTGCCGCCCATCCCTGGTGTACGGCGGATGTCTTCGAGGTGAGCCTGCTCAAAGACCACGTCGACACCTGGCTGAGGAGTCGGTGCGGGCGGATCCGGCAGAATCTCCCACGGGCCATCGCACGGGGCCGGGGGTGGCGGGGGCGATGCCTTGCCGCGTGCTGGCATTGTGACAAGGCAGGCTGAGGAGCACCGCCGCGGCTGGACGGCCAGGTGAAACTCGAGCAAACATGTGGCTACAGCTCTAAGCAAAATGGCTACGAGGAGGTTAAGGATGATGATGATGGTGTTGATAGGAAACCCGGTATCAGCGAGTTGATGTACAATGAGGTGTCCGCAAACGAGACACTGCTGTCAACGCTGTTATAACTAACCACAAACGAGACACTGCTATCAACGCTTGCACAATTAAAAAGAAACGCTGGCATTGACACTACTAGCAATACCAAAGTGGAGTTTAAACGAGGCACTGCCATCAACCGATTCAACTTCCAATAAAAGAAGATCACAAATGAGTTCACTCTGAAGTGACCCATGGCTATCAATGCGAGAAGTCTCTGCAAACTATTCACTCATGGCGACCGCCGCGCACACGCGTGTAGGA